AAAAAAAAAAAAAAGCTTAAACTACAGTACTGAAAGATTCATAGGTTGCAATTGCTGCCTTTTTTTAAAAGAAAATGTTACCCGACTTTGCTTGTTCTACATAACTAACTTGAGCTACCAATGCCCTTAGTCAAATATCTAGGCGTCATACTTGACCTTGCTCAGTATTAAAGACATTCAGTAAAATCTTTAAATGTACCGTGCTTCACTGGCATGAAATGCAATCTGCTGATCCTTGGAAGCTCTGTATATTATTCACAGGCCATATAAGCATGTAAAATATAAAAACACAGAACAGAAAGAAACAGCTTGTGCAGATAAAACACCTTTAACCCCTTCGTGACTGACGACGTACAGTGTACGTCGCCAGCATCGGGGCTGTTTAAACTTGTAGAGCCGACTGTCGGCTTTACAACAGAAGCGATCCTGGCGACTAACCTGTCGCCAGATCGCTTCTGCGTCCCGAAGAAGGGTAATTTGTTGTGTTTTGGGGCATTTAATTAAATTTGTCACTAAATTTTGGGGTTTAATAAGGAGTTGCGCTAATATTGCACAACATAAACATTTTCAACTACCACCATTTTATTCTATAGGGTCTTGGCATTCAGAAAATATATAATGTTGGGGGGTTTCAAGTCATTTTCAGGCCTAAAATGTGGAATATAACATGGGTGCAAAAATTGAAAAAAGGGCCTCAGTCATGAAGGGGTTAAATGAATTCCCATATATTATGGTAGGTGTATTCAGTAGAAGCAAACTTACTGCCAATTACAGTACACTAGAAAAGTCATGTCCAAGGTGCTGGAAGTCTGGTATTATTTTCTACAGAGGACCCACAAAATAAGAAAACCAGATTCCATGGTTCCCTTACCAACTCTTGAGCCTCATTATTGTTTAACCCCTTCATGACTGACTACGTACAGTGTACGTCGCCAGCATTGGGGCTGTTTAAACAGACTCCCGGTGACGTTTGCCGCCGGGACTCTGTTTAAACTTGTAGAGCCGACTGTCGGCTTTACAACAGAAGCGATCCTGGTGACTTACCTGTCGCCAGATCGCTTCTGTGTCCCGAAGGGGCCGCCCCCACCACTCCACCCCCCCACCGTGCTTCCCGGGCTCCGTTGCCCCTCCTACGGGCCCGGGACCGGCGATCTTGGTGTCCGCGGGGAGCTGGGGAGGAGGTCGACGAACTTCCGTTCATCGATCCCCTCCCCGTTCTATGTGACCGGGAGCGATGCAGATTGTATCACTTCCGGTCCCTGGGCTGTCAGTTCTGGGCTCCTGGAGCCCAGCTATAAGCTATTGAAGTGCGATCTGCACTTCAATAGCTTATTTCCAGTGTAAAGGTGACACTGAGGGTCTTTTGGACCCCCAGCATCACCTTAAAGAGGACCTGTCACCACCATCTGCTATTACATGG